TACGTGTTTGGTGGCTCGGTGCCTCTCGTCATGGATGACGTCAAAGTGGCCACACACGAGAAGGAGTGGAAGTGTACCAACACGCTGGCTTGCCTCAACCTGGGTATGGCCTCCCCGGGCTCAGAGTGGCCTGCGGAAGCTGACCCTCCTCGGTCCTGAGAGCTGTGCGGGGTGTGCAGAGAGCGAGGCTGGGCCCGCAGCTCCCTCCAGAGTCCACACCAGAAGTACCTGGTGGATGGAGCACTCGGAAGCGATGCTCTCCCTTTTACGTTTCCGAACAGGCTCTTCATACACGTGGTCCGGCAGGCACATCCAGTGCGGAGCCTCCTCCCCGTTCTCCTCAGGGGCAGCCATGGGGCTGGTTCTTGTACCCACTGCAGGGACTCTTCATATACAAGCATTAGCTGTGGGTTCCTTTATAAAGGAACAGGAGGCGCCAGCAGGTGGCGTGGTGTTTACAGCGTTGTACTCCCATATGGCCGACCATGGTTCAAGTCCTGGACCTGGCGGCTTGCTTTCTTGCTTTCCCTCTCTCTGTCTCTCTCTGGGTTAAAAAATAATAAATTATAAATAAGTAAACAATTCTTTTAAAAATATGGAACAGGAGCCCACTGCACACAGGTGTACACAAGTCCTATCAGTAATAGCATTGTGGCTGTTAGTGAGCAGTCCCACCTCCTTGGGCCTTGACATTGCTCTGAGTGTCCTGGTACCATGTTTGGCCAAGTGCAAGTGTGTTCAAAGGGTCAAGGCTTAGATGTGGAGTTGCTGTCAGGTGTTGCTGAACTGCCCTGCACAGAGGCTCTAGCAGCATAGATGCCCCCAGCCCTGGGGCACCCGCGTTCTGGGACCCTGACCTTAGCTGCACACTCAGCCCACCCTCTGCCAGCCCCTGCCCCAATTCACCTCAAGCCCCTGGCGCAGTGGGCATAGAAATCAAACTGCCGGACACTGTGGTTCTGATGTGTGTTGTTCTTCCTTTAAGTGAGGGTATAGGTTTTAAATTCCATCGTGTATTCCACAAACATGTACCCCTCTGCACATCTCCTTGCGTGGGTTGTTGTATTATTTGATATGTAGGGAGTTAAACTTTGGCTGTACATTTCAAATACTTTTCCCAGTTTGTCGTTTCTGGCTTAAAATAATTGTCATTCCTGGTGTTTCTTGCAATAAGCAGGCAATTTTTGTTCATTTCGTTTTTGTTGTTTTCAACTTGGTGATCTTGGATTACTCTCTGGTATCAGTTCCCCACCCCGACAACAAAAGGACAGGGCGCTGGGTGGTGGTCTTCCTCTGCCCTCTCTGCTGACTTCTCTGCCTGCTTGCCCTAGACACCATGGCGTGGGAGACCATCCTCATGGACACTCTAGAGGACAACATCCCTCGGGCTCGAGCCGGCCACTGTGCTGTTGCCATCAATACACGCCTGTACATTTGGAGTGGGCGTGACGGCTATCGCAAGGCCTGGAACAACCAGGTCTGCTGCAAGGACCTCTGGTACCTGGAGACAGGTAAGGTGTCGGCCAGCCCAGCTCCCACCACTTCCACCCTCAAGCCCCTCCCCCCACTCCAGCTATATTCTCTTGCAGAAAAGCCACCGCCCCCAGCCCGGGTACAGCTGGTACGAGCCCACACCAACTCCCTGGAGGCGAGGTGGGG